AATAATTGAAGAGGCTTAGAATTGGAAATTTTCATTTTTGGAAAGAATTTTAAAGTTTTGGAAATTTTGCTAAGTATGGAAATCAGTGAATTTTGGCCAACTTTGAGCAGTCGTAACTCCTAGATCAGGACGAGTTAGGAGTATTTCCAGTTATGGTTTTGAAGCTTGTGGAATGATCTTTCCAACGCCGCCGAGTTTGCTCAATTCCGAGTTCGTATGAGCGAGTTATGGCCCTTTGAAAGTTGGGCAGTTGACAAGAAAATCCGTCCGGGAATCATTAAGGGCATTTTGGTCTTTTCCCTAGCTAATTCTTTTGAGGATATATTGTTGTGTTAGGCTGATATTTGGATCTGGAATTATTGTTGGTTGTGGGACATGATTGGGTTGTGTTTTTGAGTTGTATTCTATTGAATGTTGGGGGATTTTATGTTCTAAGTGATTGAGGGTTGGAACCCTTGAAGCTAGAGAGTTTGGAGTTGGTAACGTGAAGGAGAAAGTCGGGCAGCTTGCGAGGAGCACGTCCGTGTCACAGACTTGTTCCCTCTGTGAACAAAATCTTCTCCGCGTTGCGGACAGGACGCGGACTCCACTGTTTTCAGAATTTGTGTTCGAAGATTTTCTTAAGTTTGGCTGTCCCAAATCATTCCTAAATCATTCCTAAACATCATGAGGTCCTTCCAAACACCAATCAAGTCCTTGAATCCATAATTCAATTCAAGTGAAGTTAGTTTCCGATTCAAGTGAAGTCAAGCTTAGAAATTAAGTAAGTCCAAGCAAGTCTTTAAAGCTTTTCAAGAGTCTTCATTGAACGTTTTAACTTCATTCTAAGGCTCAAGTTTCAAGTTAAGTATAGAGTTTCAAGTCAAGCAAGGAGTATAGAGTTTCAAGCTAAGTAAAGAGTCTCAAGTCTCAAGTTAAGTCAAGAGTGTAAGTTGAGTCCATTTTCTCAAAAAGCTATTAGGGAACTATGTATTCCCAAAGAAGTTTTAAAGAAATGTTTTACATTTAAACAAGGTTGGAAACTAAGATTTCCAAAAGAGCCTTCGGGTTAGTTTTTGAGTAATTATCTCATATCAGCAGGAA